CAAGCACGTGGCCAAATTGTTGACAGAGATCAACGTGTCAGGATGTTCGGCACCGAGGGTGCGTTCTTGTGCCTTCAAGGCTCGATGGTAGAGGGGCTCTGCTTCAAGCAAACGGCCCATGGCCCAAAGGCAGCTGGACAAGTTGCCCAGATTCCTCAGCGTCGTCGGGTGCTCCGCTCCGAAGCGCCGCACCGAATCTTCCAACGCTGAGCGCAGTAGCCGCTCGGCTTCGGCATACTCTCCCCGGTACCGCAGGGCCACGCCCAAGCGGTGCTGCGCTTCAAGTTGGATCTCCGGACTCTGAGCGTTGCGCAACCGCACCCGCAGGGTGTCGATCATTCGGGCTCGAGCGTTGGTGATGCCCTTCTCGTCAAGCACGCGGAGCACCACGCAGCAGCGTTCTGGTTCGTCCGGTTCGTTCAGGAGCTTGTCTGCAAGGTTGGTCCCGGGGGGCTTGCCTTTAGCTTCCATTTCAGGTGTCGCTCGTTCTGAGATGTCATAAGCATTCTCGGGATCGATCAGAAGTGGGATGCAAAACCTCAACTATGAGTCAAACATGCAAGCAAATGACAGCATGTTGATCTGGACTTTTCGCTACTCACTAAAACCAAGAAACGGCAAAAACACAAAACGTATTTGATGAATAATGACGGAACCCGGCGCGTGGCGGATACTTCTCGTTCACATACGATGCACCGCGATCCTGAAGATCACGGCGCATCATATTCCTGAAATTATTATCCAGGAGCTGGTGCCTGTCGGCCCATTGGTCCGGAGGCTTGGGCACACTGTAAACGCCCGCACCCCACCAGGCATTGGCGCCTGGACCTTGTGTAATCAGAGAGGCAAACACTTCAGCAGCCTTCTTCTCCAGGGCAGTGATGTTGTGGAAACCTAGTTCACCTGGGATTCGTCCAACCAACACGGAAAGAATGCCTGAAAGAATTCCTCCACTAAACAGAATAGAGACACTTTACCTCAGACCAAGCCAGGTCACTAGTATAATGGAAGTAGACTTTGGGATTTTGCTTTGAAGATAGGTCCATGGCATCTTGCCACACGAAGATGCCGGTCTTCTCGTGCTTCCAGGCGTCAAACTCGTCAGAGTGCTTATACTCGGGAGACTGAAACTGTCCACCTTCCCGGTACCTTGGATCGAATCAGTTCTGAAAAAACACTTAACAAGTAGTAGGACTAAGTTGGACACACTCCACCAGAGGAATCTGGAAAACCGGTTTCTCGCACTCTATCTTCCCCCAATGGAGCATCTTTCGGTTCCAACAAAAACACATAAGCCGAATATATGTAACTCAAATCAGTGTCAGCTCAAGCGAGGTGACAATGTCTCGAAGTACTCCACCAAGTTATCAGTCTTCATGGCCATGGCTGGACCCTTTGGCCCAAGGCTTTGAACTTCCTCGTCTCGGTGAAAACTCTGAAATCTCCTAGGCTTTGACCCTCCCAAAAGACAACGATCAATCCATATGCCATATGAGCAAATGAATGTTGTTGTTTCTTTTTGTAGAAACACAATACACTTGAGAGATCAACAATATGATCCACCTCTAAAAAGCAATATAGCTTCATATAGTGTCTATAGTGATTTGACAGGACTTGACCAAGCAAAACAGCATCTTGTTCAACTCAATACTAAGTTAATTCTGCAGGCCTAGATTTTGTCCAGCTTGGCATATGGTTTCCGAAACTTTGAGTCCACCAGGACCGGCGAACAACATAAGCAAACTATGCCTATGCGCCAGTGACACTTCAAACCACTCTTGGATAAGCAATGACAGTTCACCCCCGAACCAGGGACTCTGGCATGGCCTAGTGTCGCTTCGACATTCTATTTCTTTCTCTCCAAACAGTTTGGGCTGGAGTTGCACACATCTAGAGTCTTCACGAGATAAACAGCAAAAGCCTGTGGTTGGTGTGAAGTGCCTTCGATCTGATCCAGTTGATGCTTGCGGCGAGTCCAATCCACCTTGCATGGGTCTTTGTAAGGTTCCTTCATCTTGAAGCAAAGCTGAACCTAGAAATGTCTCCTTTCAAAGATATAACAATGACATGAACATTGTCACTCGACAAAGCTGAAGGTCTCCATGAAGGCCCTAGATAGCTCCGAAAAGCAATCTTCATGATGAACTCCAATGAAAAATCGGTCTGAACTCTGAACTACCAATATTTATGCGGCCCAAAGTAAATCTGAAACACATCTGAATGGGTCCCAGCATCTACATTCAGCACCCATGCCATTGCCATGAGGCCATGTTCATTGGACCAACTGTCTGATCTTCG